ATGTGTCCCCACAGAAGCTGTCCCTGACCCTGTCCCTGCCCCTGTCCCATGATGTGTCCCCACAGAAGCTGTCCCTGACCCCTTCCCATGATGTGTCCCCACAGAAGCTGTCCCTGACTCCATCCCAAGCTGTCCCTGACCCTGTCCCTGACCCTGTCCCCACCCTGTCCCCACAGAAGCTGTCCCTGAGCTCGTCCCACGGCGCGTCCCCACCCTCGGTCCCCCCCAAGGAGCCCAACGGGCGCCTGAGCCTGAGCCCCGAGGACGAGGAGCACGAGGAAGAGCCCGAGGAGGACACAGAGGTGACATTCTGTGTTCCCGGCGGGATGGAATTCCCTGCTCCGGAACGTTCCTGGCGGGATGGAATTCCCTGCTCCGGAACGTTCCTGGTGGGATGGAATTCCCTGCTCTGGGTGCTGTGGGGATGTGGCACTGGGCCCATCCTGGACACCACACCCAAACTGGGATGGGGGGGACACCCATGGGATGGGGGGACACCACAGCCAAACTGGGATGGGGGGACACCCATGACCAGCCTGATGCTGGACACCACACCCCAAATTGGGACTGGGGGACACCCATGACCCCCCTGGTGTTGGACACCACAACCAAACTGGGATGGAGGGACACCACACTCAAACTGGGATGGGGGGAAGATCCATGACCCCCCTGGTGTTGGACACCACACCCAAACTGGGATGGAGGGAGGATCTGTGACCCCCCTGGTGTTGGACACCACACCCAAACTGGGATGGGGGCACACCCATGACCTGCCTGGGTGGGACACCACACCCCAACTGGGATGGGGGAATATCCATGAGATGAGGGGACACCCATGATCCACCTGGTGTTGGACACCACACCCAAACTGGGATGGGGGGACACCCATGACCCACCACATCACACCCTAAACTGGGATGGGGCACTCATGGGATGAGGGGACACCCATGACCCATCACATCCACCTGGTGTTGGACACCACACCCAAACTGGGATGGGGGGACACCCATGGGATGAGGGGACACCCACGACCCACCTGGTGTTGGACACCACATCCCAAACTGGGATGGGGGACACCCATGGGATGGGGGGACACCAGACCCAAACTGGGATGGGGGGACACCCATGGGATGGGGGACACCACAGCCAAACAGGGATGGGGGCACACCCATGACCTGCCTGGGTGGGACACCACACCCAAACTGGGATGGAGGGACATCACACCCAAACTGGGATGGGGGGACACCCATGACCCCCCTGGTGTTGGACATCACACCCAAACTGGGATGGGGGGACACCCATGACCCCCCTGGTGTTGGACACCACACCCAAACTGGGATGGAGGGACATCACACCCAAACTGG